TAGACTTACAAGGCCAACGGATTATCTTTTGCTGATAAAAAATAATGCATTTCGCCTTACCTAGAAAATGAAATTTAAGCACGAGCTACGCAGTAAATGTTAAGCAAGTGAAAAGCAGCTTAAACCAAAGTAGTCAAAGCAGATTTCACAACTTATGCGACAGCTAAGCTGAATAAAAAAAGAAGCGCTGGATTGCTAAGAAATGCGCAAAGGCTGAGGTAACGTAAAACGTAAATGAGAAAATTCCGTAGCAAAAAAAAATGTAATAATAGACAAATGTTACAAAATGTGCATGCAATTAAATTGAGACCTGCCAACAATCAGCAAAATGTGTGCTTACATTAAGTTGCCAACAAATTTAAGACATTAAATTAAAGTTGAAAATTGCGCAGCACATTTTATATTTACCTCAAAAGAATAAGATTGATCAAAAGGTATAGAAATGCACAACAGCCGCAATCACATTATCTGCGATAATTCAATTCAATTTCAATTGTGCAAATCGTAAACAGCAACGGGCCAACAGCTGGCAAACAAAATGCACTTGTGGCAATTGCGTTATAAAGACAAATCGGGAGGGTGGGGTGGTCAGAACTCAACTTGGTCAACGGGAAAACAAGCCGCAGATCGAGCAGCTAGCACTCATATAAAATGCATTTCAATTAAAAGCAATAAATTAAACAGACGCTCCGCTCCTTCGCCGGCTTTGACCTTCATTTGCTGCATAAATAATGGACTGTGTACATTGGCCAGGCGAGGGTCAACAGCAGCTTCCGATTCAATTCCAAGTCTAACAAATTATGCAATAAATTAGCAAGACACAAGTGGCAAAGATATGAACAAGAAATCTAGATTGGTTTACATTATGTATTAATAAGATTTGAACGATTTTCAAAAAGTTTTCTCTTTCTTTCGTTTGCTATTGCTCTGACTAAAACTCTACATCTTTTTTTCAGGACAATAAATGTTAATGTTGACTAATAAATGTCAACAAAATAATCGAGCGTATGTAACAGAATTTTTGGGTAAGTTTTTATATATTTTCTTATATATTTAAATAAACAAAATATATATTAAGCATCAAGTAGACCACAGGCAAAATATCTAAACACATTGGGATCGAAGCAAAATGACAAATAAATTAAATTTTTAAATTCGTAACATTTTTTAATGTGCAATTTTATTGTGCATTGATTTCGTTCCATAATTCATGATCCCATGGTAATTAATTTCATATTTGAACTTCAGCAGACACTCGTCTTAGTTTTCTTTGCAAGTGTGCTAGTTGTCTGGAAACCTAATGACATTATCCTAAAGTCAAAGCAGTCAAATGTGAAATGTCAAATGAGTCTGATTAGTTACTCAAACACTGAATGACATTTGCGCGAGTCCTTTAAGTGCTGCATCAGCTTATCTCAGCTTTAATATGCCCTATCACCCTAGAAAAAACGGAGTATACACACTGACAGTTCTTAAATGTGTCATATTGATCAATTAACGCAGTACATAAAGCAATCAAAGGGTATTATGCATTCGAGTACTCTCGTTTTCAGTTGCACTTGCTTAGCTTTGACTTTACTCAGCTGCATACAGAAAAAGGGCGCAAATATGTTGACCTTGCTGTTAGTCAGCTAGAAAGTGAAAACGAAATTTGCATAAACTGTCGGCAACATGCCCAGTAAAAGCGTGGGGCATGTGGCTAGAGAAAGGGGGGTGGCAGCCTTAGATGCACTAAAGCCAGCATCGAACTTAGTTGTTAGCCTGAAAGTAAGAAAAAGGAACCTTATTCGCAAAACTTGCTGACAAATTGTGGCCCAGGCGAGGTGTCAACACTTCACTAACCCTCAAACCCCAAATACCCCTGCCAAAGCTCAGCTGCCATCCGTGGCGCTTACCACCTCAGTCTGTGGCACGTCTGTAGATTGCTTAAATTACGCATGCAAACGACTGAGACAACGGCGTTGCCGCTGACGACTTTCGCCATTGAGACAGCCAAAGTTTTCTTTTATGACAATTTCTTCAAGCAGACGCCTTCAAAATGGTGTCTAAACTGCTAGTTGTAACGTTGTACCCTTTAAAGAGGATAATATTATGCTGCCATACAGTATGTAACGCAAAGAAGAAGACTTAGCCGACTCCCTTAAGACTTTGTCGTTATGTTGCAGTGCACATGTCAGAATCGAAACACTATAACAAAAGGTTGACGTTTGAACTATGCCCTTTACATATGACGGACGAATATTTTTCTAATATTAAAACACTTTTAAGCCATTTGTCTACAAGGGTATTAAATCATCGGCTTGACGAATATTTTCAATCTTTGTTGCTTTTTTCTCCGTCTCTTTTTGTTCTTGTTAGCTATAGTTATAGTTGCATGCATATAAAAACTGCAACAGCAGCCAGTTACAAGCTTCTCTATTTTCCACGTAGGCTTGTGCACAGCAAAGTAGAAAAGTGGAAAAGTGGAAAAGTTTTGCCAGCATTAAATTAAAGCGGCGAGGAAAATAGCACGCAAATGGTATGAAAACTGACGACGTTTCAAACCAAATTACATCTCAACTTGACGCGGGAGCAAGGAGAAGTTAATCACCTGTCAAAAGATCTCTTAATTAGATCTACTAATTAGGTTCTCTAAGGAATTCGAAAAATAACTTTGGTCGTGTAATTAAAACATGGACTAGATGTGTTTGGAATGTTAACAATTGATGTACAACAGAATTGAAAAAGGAACCGGATTATAAATCATATTTAATCAAGAACCTAATGGAAATATGCCCATTATAAGCTTTCGCCCTTAATAGCACCAAGTGACCAGAGGTCAATGAGCCGCACCTGTCGCCGGTTCTTTTCTGAAACGGATATCCACAAACGGAAGAAGAAAATCCGAGTGAGAACAAAAAATGTCAACACCTCTAACGGACGATAAAGAATAGGAAAAATAAAACCTCTGCCGCCTCTCTTGGCTATTATTTGTCGTTTTTGGTGGCAGCTTTTATGAATCAGCTGCACACCTGACTGGCAGCATGCCACACCTGTCGGTTATGTGACCCACAGCTGGGCTCTTAAGCAGCTTGGCAAATGCATTAAGCGGCGAGGGGACACTCAGGCTCGGGAATACACTCGTCTGTCATGGAGATGCTTCGATTAAACATACTATAATGGAGCACTAGCATTGGCTGTTGCCGCAAACCTCAGACCTGGGTTGCTGTCATCCTGCCGCATTCGTGTGTTTGTGTTAACGTGATTTATATTCCGTTTGATTGCATTGGGTGTTGGTTGTTAGGATTCGGTTGCAGCTCGTAAATAGCAAATAACGTGTTCACACTTAGTTCTGATTTGAAGCTGAGTGATTCAATGCCGCAGGGCTGCACAAGCAGTCAGAGGCGAGCGATTGTTGCCAACTTTGCGGCAGCCAAAGGCTTCGTCTTCTTTTAAAGTTTGCCGACATTTTGCCCTTTTTTGTATGGTGTTTATTTTGTGATAGTCTGTCGACTGTTGGAATAGTCGGCGGTTGCTTTTCGCATCGCTACATTTGGCAGCTGGTAGGCTCCTTGCCGACACCCGACCCCGCAACCAGCCGAACCTGCCGCAACCACAGCCAACAGTGACTTAATTAACTTTGCGTCCTCTACACTGTGGCATTGTTTACACGAGGACTTTTTGCAAAGGAAAAAATAGTAGCATAAATAAAAGTGCAGCGTATGTGCAGTGCATAAAGTGTTAAGGCCGAACATTGAATACTCTGACAAAAATCCAAATAAGATTAACGTAGTTCTGCAGCAAGTTGACAAATCGCCCTAGACACTGAAAAGACAGACAACAGACGAACAAATTAAGAGTTTTCGGAAAATAAATTTTTCCTTTCATAAATTTCTAAGAGTCTTATACTTAAAACGTCTTCCTAAGCTCTTCACAAATGTTTTTAAGACGCCTTTGCAAGCATTGCTTGTGATGATGATGCTATTTGTATTTTGACAGTTGTAAATATATACTAGTTATGCGATTGTCAATGCGTTATTTACTGTCATCTGCAATGGCATACAAAGATTTTGCTTTAAAGGCTGGACTCAAAGTAAAATGTGCTATCAAAAACCCTGCCCAAGGGTGTATTACAATGCGGAATTCAGCAGGCAAACAGACAATGGAAAATTATCAAAAAATAAAACGAGATAGCCATAATGGGAGAGATATAGAGAGAGAGAGAGAGAGCGAGAGCAGAGTAAACGAGCAGGAAGAATCATTGTATATTTCAGCTTTAAGTACCCTCTAATTGCCTTTGTTAATTTTCAAGCATATTTTATGTTGAGCTGCCTTTAAAAGCCGCCGGCAGTCAAACCAAAGCCGCAGTCAGACAATGAAGCGTAAAAAGCGGAAAAGGAAATTAAGTGACTGCAGCGGCCGTCCAGCCACGCCTCGCCTCGCACTCCTCCGCCTACCCATGCAAAGCTCTTGCAGGCCACCGCGGCACGCCATTGTCAAGCCACTTGCCACACGGTGGCCATTGTCCAGTTTGTTTGCAACCAGACAACGGGCAAATCCAACAACAGCAACGACAACGAAAATGTGAGACGCCATTTGCGAATGCTTGCTTTGCAACGGCTGAGGGCGTCTGCGGTCGCTCGGATGGCCCCCGGGCTGCGGTTGACGGATGCAAATTGAGGCAGGCACCTAACAAACACGAAGAGCAGCCCGATTTAACTGGTTCACACTTTGATTTTGCCCATGCTTTCAATGGTCGTGACATTTTGGGGCAAGCCGCATCTGTACTGAAGGCTCATGGGGAGGATTAACTTTTTTTTTTATAGCTGTGGCCATCTGTTGCGCCTCTTCACAGCCCACAGCCCACAGCCCACAGCTGCAAGGATTACCACCCATAAACGTCAGCAAGAAAAACCCAAAACGCAGATGTTGCAACTAAGTGCTACCTGTGGCAGGTGTGTGGAACCCAAGCGCCGCCTACCTGTTATCAGCTTTCCAGATATATATACCAGCGTCCAGCAGCAAGAGCATAACAGTCATCCAGACAACTCTGTCACAGACACAGCATTCGCATCGATTGAAAGCAAACGCAGCATGTACAACGAGGAGCCAATTTCAAGCTTTGTGTTCAACAACGAGGGAGAAAAACAAACCTTCCGCCATCAGTGGCATGTGGAGGGACAGTTGCATGAGTGCACCACCTGCTACAGCAGCATCGATGCGGATGAGCCGCCCAGCCAGCACTGGCTGCGACGTGGCGAGGAGCAGCGGCCGCAGCTCACCAAGCAACAGCAGGCGGTATTGGACATCATCGAGGCGCGTCAAATAGAGACATTCTTCTTTTGCGACGAGAGTGCGCAGCATAAGCTGGAACAGTTTATGGCCGAGACCTGCTCCAGGGCGGTGCCGGAGCTGTTGCGCTGGATGTTTCACAATGGTACGCAGCGTTTGGAGTTCAATGTGGCGTGCTATGTACATGTCCAGAACCAGGTACACATCTTTCAGAGCGGCACACTGGGCGTTCAGCATCACTATGACATTGAGGAGAGCGTGAGTGTTGTCTACGAGCTGCTTACACAGCGCATTCAGAACTATCTCAGCAGCAGCCATGACGTAAGCCTCGACGAATGCAGCATAACACGCATACGTGTCCAGCTGAAGCGGCAGCGTGAGGACAGCGAATCTACGGGCTCGCCATCCTTGGCTCTGCCATTGCCGCTGCAGCTGCGCCAGGAAACGGCTGCACGCGGCAGCCTCACCAGCGAGGCCGACTTGGCCAGTTTGCGGGCGGCATATGTTAAGCATCAGCGCGAGTGCAACGGCTATTTTCCGCCCAACATGCGCGTCAATCTGTACGGACTGCAGCAGTGCCAGACCACCAAGGAGTTGTATGTGGTGCCCTATCACATAAGTGAGACGCTGCAGCAGCGGTCCAACAAGAGTTTCCTCATACTGAACGACATCATGGGCCAGTTTCAGCGACTGCACGAGCTGCAAACCCCAATGTCGCCCAATAATAGCCGATCCCGTACACGTCCCTTCCAGTGTCGCCGCTGTCGAGCTCCGCTGAAGAGCCGCAGCCGTCTGCATATTCATCAGCAATTGCGCTGCGGCCAGGACTTTAGCTTGGACAGCATTCATCCGGACATTGTGGAAGTCTACGAGCAGTGCCTGCCCATTTCGCGCAGCATTTCCCTCTACACCTGCTACGGCATTACCAAACCCAAAACGGTCATAAGAAAGGGCCAATATGTGCCCATCGAGTGCGATTGGCGCCGCAAGAGCTCCGTTCAGGTGCAGCACGGGCCCTGTGTAGTCATTAGCAATGCACAGCTCAGTAGTCCCTGTAAATACACATAGTTAAGTCATATCAATAAATCAATTCAATTTTAAGCAAATTACTTGGTGTTACTTTATTTTTGATTAACATTTCGCGAAACGACTTTGGTCGCTTGCGTTTTGGTAAGATTTTTACCACGCATCCCACATTTTCAACATTAAATTTAAAAAGCATTTGTTAAAATTAAATAAGCAATTATAAAAATTGCTGCTAAACTTTCACCATTTCAGTATTTAGTCAGGTAAAAATAATTTTTATTCATAGATACTCTTATTAGTTTTAAAAGTAGCTCTTTCACAGTATCCCACATGATGAAGCTATGCATATGAAAACACAAGGCGAGCATTAATATGAACCAAAAAATAATTGAGCTTGTCAATCATAGTGACAGCAGTCGGGATTAGAAAAACCACACAAAAGGTGCGTTATTAGATATTTGGAATTTTCATTAGCGTATCCACATGGGACAACGTTGAACTTCTTGCCAGCAAAGGAAAATAAAAACCATATGAAATGTGCAACGACACAAGGAAGAACAAGAAAACAGCTCAAGAGATACCCATTAGAAATTGATTGAAAGAAAGAGTACCACGGACTTGGCTTGAACTCGAATTGATTCAGCATTCATAAAGTTGATTATGTTGGGTATTAACATGAAATCACAATTTTTGAAATATTCTCATGCGAATTTATTTATTAACCAAGCAGCTTTTAGGTTACCTTAAATTCAATTATGATGTATTAATTAGGTGGCTTTATTAAATAGATTTTTGGTTAAACAAAATTGATATTAAAATAATATTTTTATCTGAGAGCCTGCCTTGCTCGAGGCCAAGCCTGGTAGTCACCCTTCAGCCCATTTATGTGGTTAGCTCTATGGAGAATAAACTTGTATAAAATAAAACGAATCAATGTTAATGAATATGTAGACTACAGGGTATGCGACTAATGCAAACTTGAACTTAATGCCGTGACTGTGCCACAGCAATGCCACAAGAATGTATCGGGAAGCAGAATCCCTTTTCTTTTCCCTTTGCCTGCCCCACCATGAACCACGAGAACCACACACATCACCTCAGTGCTTTTTGCCTTTTATTGGCATTCTGCTTACCCGTGGCTTTCGCGTCAAAGTCAAAAATATCAACGCGAGTTTTTTGCTTTTCTATTTCGTATTCTAGCTAACACTTTGCTAATTAGCCAGGAAGCGAATGAAATAAATGAAAAAGTGTGCAAAAGTGTGCATTTTGCATTTAATTGAAATCTATGCAGAATTAATAATAATTTGAACAGATGATTTGCCATGGTTTTCACTATCCCTCTGGCATTAAGTTAATTGGAATTACGATGCGAAGCAGTGCGGTCATAACTACTTACTCGAATGTCAATCAGCACGAGAAATTGGATTATTAGAGCGTCACGTTTGCATAAACAACAAATTTGAATAAAACTCAATCAAGAGCTGACTCGGACTCAAAGCGACACCTCAGGCTCGTGGATATGAAATGACCAGCAAGACACAATTTGCTTCAGCGCAACGAGCTTAGAATTCAAAGCCAAAGCAAATTTATTATCTGGGGAAGAGTAAGCCAAACAATGAAAAACAGAATTAATTTCTCTTTGATGTTTGTCACACATTTAAATTATATTTGAATATCAGACGAATGTTCTAGTTAAATAAGCTACCCCTTTCAAAGTTTCAAGGTTATAGGGTATGCGGTGAAATGCATTAAACCTAATGCGAACCGATAACGACGGCTCGACAATAAACTAGCCGGGCAGCCAGTCTGGTCATTGTTTTAATGGCCAAGAACAGCAAGTGCAAAATATGAGAGGCCATCAATTCATGCCCGAAATGAGAAAAGAAATAAAAATATTATCCACTTGAAAATTTGGGCCTGCTTGAGCAATTTTTAAATCGATTCGTATTTTACTTTTGATACCCTGTTAAAAAATGGGTTACACGTAAAGATTATGCAGTCTTGCTTGAGGCAAACATTTAAACAATGCTTTACTAGTAAATAATTTAAAGCTCTTACTGTTAAAAGTTTAAATAATCTATTTCATATATCCAAACTTAAAATACTTGAAAAAATATTTTAATCATAGTATTCATTTATTGTCAAGTAATTTTATGTTTGCTGTTTTGAGAAAACATTTTTCATCGTCCATAATTTTATTTTTACTATAGATAATAATTATAACATTATTATCATTATTATTATTATTATTATTATTATTATTATTATTATTATTATTATTATTATTATTATTATTATTATTATTATTATTATTATTATTATTATTATTATTATTATTATTATTATTATTATTATTATTATTATTATTATTATTATTATTATTATTATTATTGTTCTGTATTTTTATTTATTTATTTAATTTATTTTATTTCTTTTTTATATATATAACTTTCATTCTCTCGAATGCCCAGTGAACTGCAGACAGGGTATCGTATAGTGCAGTATTTTTAAGTCTTATTGATTTTCTTTGTACTTTAAAGGCTATAAATTGCCAAAAAGAATTACACGTTGTCCTTTGTCAAAGTTCGTGAACGAAGCTGTGGCAGTAAATCGTGCGGAATTTACGCGCCGCTCCACTTTAACACTCATGTGCGTCTGCTGCCCGCCCCAACCAATATGTTCCGCCTTAATCCTAGGCACGGGCATTATTCAGCCTAATAATACATAATTCAAATATGAAGCTGGACACATTAGTTCCGCCGTCTTAAGCACTCGCCGGCGCCTGTGATAAATGGAGGTCCAACAGGTTGACATCCAGAGACGGCAATTTAAGTAGATTTTGTGGTCGACAATTTCTTGGCAGTTTATGAACGTATGTGCCGAAAAGAAAATGTATAGATGTATATATGAAGGGAAACCATAAAATGTATTAAATGAGCATTTCACTTGAAATGCTGCGACTGCCATCGATGATTGATGAATGCCGACGAATGACAAAGAGAACTTGGCACATGGGCCATAAAACATTTTCAGCAAATGCTCATCAAGTAGCCATGCGATAAATAAAAGAACAGTCCAAACATTTGATGAGATGGCAAAGAGAACGCTGTGCCGGAGACCATAAAAATGCAACGCTCAGTCAAAGAACGAAGCTCATTCAAATTGTGGCCATAGACACGCCCACCCACAACACATAAAGAGCAGACAAAAGACATAAACTAAATGAAGCGCCGCACCTAATGCCAAAAAGAAGTACGTTGCGACGAGTATTTCTATTTCTATTCCATTTCCATTTTCATTTGCCATTTACTATTTGCTATTGTCGTAACTCAATGCTATTTAAAGCCAAGTCGAAATCAAAATCAATTGTTACATGCGCACACACGCACGCACATGCACACAATGAAAACTGTTTTTCCTACACCATAAATGCGCAGCAAGCGAGTCTCGAGAAAAACCGTATCATGCAATCCAGTTGCTGCTTTAATAGAAAGATAATCATATAAGTTGGGAGACGCACATGAAACACACACACACGCACACACACACACAGACATGTGAATATAGTTGTGCAAACATGAGCTAACCAGACATGGTGGCACATATAACATGCCACAAACCTCAACAAATCTGCAAAACATTCGATTGCAACTGTTCTGGTTGGTTTATGTTAAAGAGATATGTTGACATATATAGTATGTACATACATAATCTTTGTCTCTTTTGGAAGTTCTTGAAAACGTGCCAAACAAAATACAATGAACTCATTCTGCCGATGGGTTGATTTACCCTGACACGACAGCAAATTGCGTCAGCAGCGCAATCATCAACAAGATTTAATTAGCTTATAATGGGAAATGGCAAAAATAAAAAGAAAAGTGCACATCTGCTTAACTTGACAATATATTTAATAATTCTGCAGGCAACTGCTAGCTTTTCAAGCTAGCTTATGCCAAAAATCTGTTGCTAACATTGTGAAAGAGTATAACAATAATTTGTACAATCGTATATTTCCCGGCATTGGCCGTATCAAATTTTGTGCTTAACATTTACGATAAATCTTTTCTCAGTTCCCGCCAATGAAGATAGTAATCCATCGAATAAAGAACTGAACGGGTTCCAGCCCATGTTAGTCTTGTGGTGTTTCGTTCAAAAGATTTGAAGTTGATCAGAAGATAAGCCAAGTAGTCTCAAAGAACAACTATTTCTTGCCAATCTATCAGGGGACTTGACTTGACTTTTGCGAGATGTGCGCCAAACACATCTCAAATGATATTTCAAAAAAAAATCCTTGGAAATGAATTTGAAGACAATACTATATATTTACAATATCAAAACACGCAAATAAACTTGTAGAAATAACTACGAAAACAAAAACGTGTCGAGCAAACGATTTTCACGATTTTTTCACACTTACGGGTGGATTTTTCCAAAGCCCTGAATTAGCGTGCACAAAGCTTTCAGCTGCCTTGATCACCAATTTGTTAGTTAGTTAATCATTTGATCCGTCAGTCGGTCAATCAGTTGGTCAGTCAAAATTCACAGTTTTATGCATAGCGATAAATAAGAATACATCATTCTGTGTTTGTGAAAAACGTCAAAATAAATAATATTTGGGATTTGAAACGATGTGCAAAGGGTAAAAATAACATAATGTCCGGCGAGTGATATGTTAAAAGGGCAAAGGTCAACGCATTTTAATACCATATGATTGTTTTATGGTCAATAGCTCAGTTTAATAGCAACAGAAATAGACCAGACAACTACCTAATGGCATGTGTTTAATCAAGAGGAATTTATTTGAATCAACTCGTGAAGAAGAAAACAGCGCCAGACAAACAGCTGTGGAACCAAACCAGCCGCATAAATATCCATTGGACACACAAGACGAAAGTGTGAATTTGCAATTTAAATGGTCGAAATGTCGCGCCAATATAAATCAATAGAATTGCCCAGGCTCAGACATGACCATTTCTCTGCTGGAAATAAACAATAGACTAAACAAATTGCTTAAGTGGTATCTAAATACGCATATCGATATGAATAATGGAGCCAGCCTTGCGTCGCAGCTGTGCAACAATTTTTCTTTTGTCTATATTTGAAAAAGCAAAATAGCTGAAAAAAGCCTCATCTACATTAAAGACGAACCGAGTCCAGCCCCAGGAACTCGAAAAACTCTTTTACACTGCAGAGCAAATTTAACACATGCGACTGAGACCAATTCGTATTAAAATACAATGTTCCAGCACTAAAGAGCGTTACTTAATTAAAAAGCTGCGCTGTATATCGTTTCATGGATAAATAAAAATGTAGGCAACACAATACTTACTTCAAGCTTTCAATATGAGAGCATATCTAAATTATTTGATGTGCTTACTAGTTCTACACAGAGCAGATTCTTATGGGATATTGGAGGATGTTGCCATGTCCGTGGCGAGCTTAGACAGCTTAATACATGCCCAAAGCCTATTTATAGGAGAGCTCTACGACTATACCGTGGATTTGCAGTCAACCATTTACACAATGGAGAGGTAACTAAGCGATTGGCTTCAAATTGCAAATAATTGAATGCTGCTCGCCAGATGCTTGTTGGAAATGAGCGCAAAGATCCAACAGTGGAGGGCTGATCCCGAGGCATATCTAGCCAATCCCTTGAACAGTTTTGCGCTGGTACGGCGCCTCCATGAGGATTGGAGTTACATTGAGGCGTATATGCAACAGCCAGTAGGTTCGGAGTATGCTGACAATGTGTATGGGCTATTTGAGGACTATGCGCCCACAGCCACAGACCTGGAGGATGCCATGAAGGCCATGATACGAATACAAGACTGCTATGACCTGGAGGCGGCGCAGCTGGCCAATGGGCTGATTGATGGCAAGCAATACGAGTAGGCAATATTCCTCTTAAATTCTTCCTATTTTCACAATTTGTACTTTAAAGTGCACAGCTAAATGCTCTTGACTGCTTTGCTTTGGCCGAGTTTTGCAAGGAGACGCCACTTTTAAGCAATGCTGTGGCCTGGCACAAGGAAGCTCTTGATAGGTATAACTATAGTCAAGATAACGATCTATATGATTCAGTTTATCAACTAACAGTGAATGATTTTTATGGAAAATATGCCAACAAGCTTGCCGAATACAGTAAGTAATACAACTATTTTACGATTCGTAAGGAAACTCATCTGCCTTATCCACATAGATAATAATAAGGAGGCTTTGAATGTGCTCAACAAAGCCGCTGATTTACATAATGTACTCTGGCTACAACGAAAATTGCTGGAAGATTCCGTTCATCATCTTAGCACAGGCTATAAGGTTACTTATTTTCAAATTAAATTTGAATTATATGGCAATCTTTGTGATTTCAGTTTGAGAAAGATCCCCTGAATTCCATGCAAATCGGTTGCCGTGGCCAGTTTCCAAATGTAACGCAAATGTATTGTTACTATCAAAATTCCAAGGAACCTTTCCTAATATTGGCACCGCTCAAAGTGGAATTACTGAACACTGAACCTTACGTGGCGCTATATCACGATGTCATCTATGAAAATGAAATTAAAAAACTGTTGAGCATAGATCTTGCCAGCATGAGACACGATCGAACTGCAGATCATAAAAACTCGGTTAAGTACACAACCGTGACAAGGGAACTGAATGATGTGCTCAATCATCGTGTTATGGATATGACTGCCATGAACGTGGCTTCCGAAAAGGACTTTCTGCTAATCAACTATGGCATAGGTGGCCACATAAGAGCACTCTCCGAGCAGCAGGTGCGTAACAGTCAACTCGTAAAGCTAAAGTTATCAAAGCTTATTTATAACATTTTAGCCGCAACTGGGCAATGTCAAGGCCTCCATTATATTTTTCGTAAGCACTGAAGTTCTCTTCTCTGGTTATATTTAATATCGAATTCTCTACGCCCAAAAGCTGAGTGAAGTGCCGCAAGGTGGTGACACTATTTTGCCAGAACTGGAAATTGCCATCAAGTCAAAAAAAGGTGCTGCATTAGTGACGCATCATTTGGACAAGCAGCTAAAAATTGATCTGAGCTCGGATCATTTGTCGTGCCCCGTCTTGGTGGGCTCCATGTGGAGTAGGTTCCCTAAAATATCTTTACAAATTCGACGCGAGATAACTTTTTGTTATTGCAGCTCTCGTTAAGTGGATTTACAGACACCGAAAATAAGGTTATTTGGATATTAAACATTGAGTTCCTGTCTATGAATTTATATGCCCTTAGTTGACTTAATTTGGATTGGACATTAAACAATCAACAGTTAGTCTTGGTACTGCTTTAAGCATATTAACTATGCTGTGCCTAATTAAATTTAAAACACACTCACATTTCTTAGCCGTAACACGCCAAATCATTATCAGTTTGGCATTCGATTGGCTTCGAAGTGCTAACAATGAAGTTCCCATTCGCAGCTATTAGTTTCTCAATCTTGGTTTATGGCACGCTTGCCAATGGCCCGAAAAATTACTCGACAGAGCTATATAGCAGCTCCATTGTGGGTCTGTTAAAGCTGTTAGACATTGAGGATGAGTTTGTGGCTAATCTGCAGGAATATGCAGAGGCCCTGGAGGAAAGGTTGGAAACGCTACAAATGTGAGTGCAAGTCGGATACGAATCGTATGATATACTAAATTTTTGTCCAGCTTTTTAAAGACGCTAAATCGTAATGCTCTTCAGAGCACAAAAGAACAAGAAGAATATGTCTCAAATCCGCTGAACGCATTCGGACTTATTCGTCGCATACGTCAAGACTGGCGCGCATTACAGGTCTTGATGGAGGCCAAGGCAGGTGCAGGTAATGCGTTATCAGAATTTTCCACTGATTAGCAAGTGTATAGAATATTGAATATCAATGCCAAGCAGCACAGCTGGCGGCTATGACAGAGCTTTTGACCAAAGCGCCAACTGAGCATGATATGGAAGAGTCGCTGGTGGGCATAAATCGCATCGAGCTGACCTATGACCTCAGTGCAATTGACATAGCAGAAGGACGCCTGCAGGGCATACAATTCAAGTGAGTTATTTGTCAGTTTCAGGACACGCCTAACCGCCCCAACGATTATCCCGCAGCCATACGTTTTCCATACGTGACTGTTTGGCCATAGCTAATCACAATTATGCCAACAAGAACTACGGCCGGGCTTTGATCTGGTACCATATTGCATTGAGGCGCGATAACGAGCCGAATTTTTTGGCCTACAATAAAGTCTTGGGCAGGCCCCTAATCGGTATCCGTCGCAGATTTGCCAGAGCGCGTCTATTGCAAGGTAGGTGGTGGAACGCATCTATTGATATGCCCGTACCTGATCAACTGTTGGCTAGGTATGCCGTTTGTTGAGCCCACACTGAATGAAACAGAAATGCTGGAAAAAGTAAATGGAATAATGAAGGCAACCAACTCAAGTCAATTGGATAACTTCGTAAATGAACTTTTGGAGCATGAAGACATGGACATTTTGGGGGTAAACCTACTAAAACCGAAGCCGACAGCCCATTATTTGGGCTGTCGTGGCCTTTTTCCCAAGCCCAAAAGTCTGAGTTGTCGCTACAACTCGACAACGACACCGTTCCTGCGACTAGCGCCACTCAAATTGGAGGAGATCAGCCACGATCCATATATAGTCATGTATCATAATGTGCTCTCCGATAGCGAGATCGAGGAGATGAAGCAGCTAAGTGTGCTCATGGAAAATGGCCTATCGGCTACCAATAAGCCGAATAATACAGAGCCGCTCGACATCGTAGCACGTGCTGGCTGGCTGGTGGAGGCGACACCGTTTCTGGAGCGCATCAATCGACGCATCACAGACATGACGGGCTTCGATGTGCTAGATATGTGGGCAGTACTGTTGGCTAACTACGGCATAGGCAACTACTTCAAGCCCCACTACGACTACATGTACGGTGGGCGTGTGTCTGGTGAGGCCGTTGCCGAGCTGGGCGAACGTATAGCCACTCTGATATTCTATGTGAGTTCGCTGATGCCGTAGTCATGGAATCAAGTGTGACAACTTAACGCATTACAGGCGAGCGATGTCGCCCAAGGTGGGGCCACCAATTTTCCCGACATTCAAGTTGCAGTTCAGCCCCAAAAGGGCAACAGCCTGTTTTGGTATAATATGTTTGATGACGGCACACCCGATCCACGTTCACTGCATTCGGTATGCCCTACTATTGTGGGTTCCAGATGGAGTGAGTACCACTAGTTTGCCCATTAGCTTTGATTATGCTAATTTTATTCCAATAGCGCTCACCAAGTGGTTGCACATGTGGCCCCAGATGTTTATCAAGCCCTGCTACGAAAGGCCATCGAAATAAGACTCGAAAATAATTTAAATGATTTAATTTTCAGTGATTCTTTAATCCGTTAAAATTTGTATACATTTCTGCTAACGTTCTTATGATTTTTTTTTATATTTCTTACGGAATCGAAAGAAATGTTTTTAGAACTCTTTTTTTGGGACTTGTGAAAAAGCTACCTGCTAATGGTCACGCTAGTTGTTATCGTTCTTTACTTGGCTAACACATGAAAACTGTAAATAAGCCATGCAAATGAAAACATATTCGTATCGTCGAACATGAAATACCCTTTTAGACAAATAGCTGCGAAGAATAGTTGAGCTGGCGATTAGTGAATTTGCTGAATATATATTGAAGAGCAGACAAGTTTGTTCAAAATATATGAAAAAGCAACTAGTTGTTTAAACAACACAAAACATTGTAGTCCGTGGACATCTAGAAATGCAATTGGACTATTCTAAAAAGTTTTTCGCACAATCATGCCAATGGGGGTTCGATTTTAATCATGATAAAACAAATAAGGGGCGAGTTTGATCATGATATATAGATTATTTAGTTGACATATACAAGTTTTCCGTATTAAAGAGCTTAATTTTCTACCAAAAAATCCTACTTCGATATAGTGAACCAGTGTTAAATCAGATTTTTCTGATTCAATATTGACAAGATGTAGCTCAGTAGTCAGGCGCATAGAGGACCTTATAAAAGTCGAGATTGTTCAAGATATCTTAAAAAACAAATAATCCAACTTCTAGTCCGATTCTATCTAGATAAGCTTTAGCCTATAAACATAGCTTACAAAGTGTTAAGCATAGTGAAACTTATAAAAGCCAAGTTTGTTCAAAAAAAAACGCTAATAAAATAAGTTTCCATATGGCTGCAAGTGGTCCGATATAGTGTTCCGATTTTAATAAGTCTGTCTATTGGTCAGCTTTAAATAAGTTTTTGGTGGTTCCGTGTTTATAAGATTTTGCTCGGAAGTAAGAAACATGGTGAAACCTATAAAAGCCGAATTTGGTCAAGAAATTAAAAAAAAAAGCCATCCATCGATTATTCCCTAATTCAGCTATTGATTCGATGTATATAGGATTTTCTTCATAATTAAAGAGTCTGGTGAAGCTCTAGTTTGGTCAAGATATATGGTTTACATACAAGTTTTCAATCTAGAACTTAATTTTCTACCGTTAATTTCTGAGATTTTGCCGATTTGATCTTGTTTAAACGTAATCCATAGCTCATAAGCTTTATGAAACGGGCAAAAGCCGAGTTAAGAAAGAAAATGTCTATATCATATCTGATAAAGGGGTTCGAGCCCCTATATACTTAGAGGATCGAACATGTCTACCTTAATGCTTTACACATAACGTGACTTGAATTTTAATACCTTCTCCACTGTATACAAAATTTGTAAATTAACTTGCAAGTGTGACGAATTCTTAGTCCAAGTATATATATAGAAACAAAAACCACGCTCGAATAGTAGTATCCGGCCAGAAATGACGTGGTTTTCAACTTTGTTTTACACTTTTCTCATAATACGTGCTGCTTTTTGCACAGCAGAAATGGAAAATGAAATGTTTCTATACAGCACATCTGTTGGGAGCATGTCGAAGCTGGTGCAGCTGGAAAATAAGCTGATGAGTAGTTTGCAAGTTATTGCCAAGGACATGCAGCAAAAGCTAAATATGATAAGGCTGTAAGTGCCAGTGGAAAAGTAACTGATATATTGCTTTACAACCAGCTTTATCACAGCTACCAGCAATTGTTGAAGCGTTCAACCGAGGACAGCTCCGTGGGGCAAGAGGAATATGTGGCAAATCCACTAAACGCGTTCGCACTGCTTCGAAGATTGCAGCAGGATTGGCCCAAATGGCTGACATACCTGAAGACTCAGCCCGAAATAGTAGAGATGCAGCAGCAGCTGCAGAAGGCGCCAAACGAGAAAGATTTGCAGACAGCTATTAAAGGCTTGCTACGCATTGAGAGAATCTATGACCTGGAGGCATCGCACATGGCCAAGGGCCTGTTACTTGGCAACCAATACGAGTGGGTAGAGCATAGACCGGCTACCTCTAAAGCTAGAATTCAATAGGACACTTTCTCTACTTCGCTGCAGCTCATTTCTGACTGCGCCCGACTGCGTAGCCTTGGCGGACAATCTGTTTAATCGCACGGAGTATTCGAGATCAACGCACTGGTACCGCACTGCAATACGTCTGTACAAAAAGCCGCATGGAAAACTGTTCGGCCGTGTGCTGGGCTTAAAGCGCAAGGTACTCAACAGAAAGTATGCGCAGGCAATTGTCTACGAGCGTAAGCAATTCAATTAGCATCAATTAATATCTCGACTCAATATGTAATTGCATATTTATGTCTGACAGCGGATGTCTCACAGGAGCCGCAAGTGTCCGGTGTAGAGCCCGAATGGAAGGATAATGTAGATAATGTCATCAGGCAACTTGTCAGTCAGTCCAGTAGCGACAAAATCCAATATATGGTCAATAAGTATCTGGAAGTGAACGAGCAAATTTTCATTGATCAGCGAGCTAAACACAAGGCAAAGCCCAATGCGGTGGAGAAGGGCTGTCGTGGACTGTGGCCAAAGCGGCAGACCCTTCCATTGACCTGTCGGTACGTTCAGCAGCACTCGGCCTATCTCAGGCTGGCACCTCTGAAGATGGAGATCCTGAGTTTGCAGCCCCTAATACAGCTATATCACGATGTACTGCACGACTCCGAAATCGAAGCTGTCAAAAATGTGACAAATCATCGGGCAATGGCTGAGAATCTGGCCAGCACAGTAAAGTTGATCACATTGAGGGATGCGCCACATACACAAAACATGCATCGTAGAATTACGGATATGTCTGGCCTGGATATGGCACAGAATAATACGCTGCATTTGCTCAACTTTGGCCTGGGCGGTTATCTGGGCAAACAGTTAAAGTTGCAAGGCAATCGCATAGCTACAGTCATTTTCTACGTACGTAAGACAATTCGGAATTTCTAAAGTTCTTATACAGCAGCATCATTTGCTAAAACAGGCTAGCGATGTTCAGCTCGGTGGCGCCACCATATTTCCAAGGCTGCAGCTCGTGGTGAAGCCAAAACGCGGCTCAGCCTTGTTGTGGTACAATTTGAATGCTGCTGGCAAACCGGATCCGCTGACAAGGCATGCCGTCTGTCCTGTAGTCGTGGGCTCCAGATGGGGTAGGCTTTCAACAGACAACACACAACTGCAAATAAAAGAAAACTATATTAAACTTGTTACAGCTATATCGAAGTGTATAGAAGATCAACAGCAGCTGCCCAAGAAGCTGTGCCTGGCCTGAATAATATCGAGTTTTCGCTTATAAGATAAAATGTTAATAAACAGCTCAATGCCAACAAAAGTGGAACAATGCCGCCTCTTGCCCCTCCTAACCTACTCACTTAGTAGCTTGCCATAAAAATTGCAAGCGCCACTAAATTTGGGTTGTTTGGGCGGGAACTAAACTGAATTTGCAGCAGGCAGCTATCTGCTATATCGTAAGCTTATGTGCTTGCCCCAAATACCATTTAGCGGAAGTGCACACTTCAATAATGGAACGGGCGACGCAAAGTGGCAAGTGGCACCCGAGTGCAGTAAGGACAAGCGCAATGAAAGGCGCATTGACAATGGCGCGCACGCGACGTACTTAAAGAAAAACAACGTACATTTTTCACCCGGCTCACACACACACACACACACACACACACACACACCCAACTGATTTTATGTGCAATGGTGCAATACGTTGAGCTGACGGCAACTGTTGCCTTGCCATGAAACTTTTCATGAATATTTTAAGCAATTGCATAATTTACAAGAGCAGCAAGAATCAGGCGCAACAGTGAGTCGGCAAACTAATTGCCAAGATTACGCCAAACTCAAAATGCAATGGACAGCGGGCCGGGGCTCAAATAGCTGCACTAATTGGAAAATTTTCAACTGCAACTCTTAAATAGTGCTAATACTTGGTTAAGTTGTCGGGCCCGCCACGATACCAAAACTAACAATGGGTTTGGGGGGTCGGGATTTGCAGCCAAACAGAACAAGTTGTCGGCTGTGAGTGTTGCGGGCAAATAAAATCAGCATGAAAGCAATTGTGCAACTCACTCAGAAGTGTCCCCGAGGCACACACACACAGCCAGATGCACACAGGACAACGGAAATTAGACACGGGGCCAGAGCTGAAGCCAGTGCCAGTCAGGCCCCAACTGCTTTTCAAATGGGCAACAATGAAAGAGAACTGACGCCTGGCGGCTGCTGCTAGTTGGATTTAGCAATGGGAATGCACTTTAGTGGAAACTACATATGCAAATATACAGAAGAGTAAAGCATGCAGCGACACACCAATTTACTAAGAATAACTAAAGATATTTTAAATTGTGCCATAAACATAAAGTTAACCGAATCTTTTGCCACTGCCAATCAAATGTTGCCGTGGGCTACAATTGCAAAACTTAATTATGAAGCTTACATTTAAGACGAAATGCTTCCATATTATTATATTATGAGCTGGAAAAATCATTGCCTAAAAGGTTGACCAGCAGTCAAAAGACACTCAGTTGTCAATGGAATTTATTGTATGGCTGTGCAAGCTGTTGAGTCGAGTCAGAACTTCAGCGAAAGTAAATCGCAGCTGCAGTGCAAACCGTAGCGCCGAGATATGCCAGAAGATCCAAGCGGCAGCAAAAGCAGACGACAGTTTGCGGCCAGTTGGAGGGGGTATATTGTAGGGCGATTTGAACTCTTAAGTGATTGAATTGTTATCAGCGACACGAATTTGTCTAACCATTTGGATGATGTCGCCCTGGGAATGGAATTGAAGCCAAGCGCTGCGATAATGGTGCCTAAAGGACAAGTTAAGCGAAAACTCTTTACAATTGTCAAAGCGTTGAGTAAATTCTACGCGAACTTGCTCGTTGGTCGTGTAGTAAAATATCTGATGCTGTTGTTGCCACTTCAAAGGGATGCATACCTCATGTTGCAAGCAGCTTGAGCTGTATTACAAATTGTGTGTGTGTGTGTGCGGCACCTGCAGGGAGTGAAGGAGAAGGGGAGTTAAATCGGTGCAGCACTAACAACACTTAACTTACTTGTTGCCAAGTCATGGCCGCCAACAGCTTTAGCTGCGCTCTCTGCCACATATGCCATACGACGCCACTTGCCACTTGCCACATGCCACATGCAATCGCTGTACTGCGGCAAGCTGCTGGGCCATGCGCCTTTCCTTTACCCAGCTTATGTAGAACTTCTTGCCAAGCTGCCGACGACATTGAGCACTTCATAAATGCCAAGCTTGACTCCCAAGTGTCGCTGCTCTGCGCGTGGATGAGTTTGTGCAGGTGCCCAACGAAGGCTTGTTATGTTGTTTTAAGGCCAGACGCTGTCAGCCGCATTAGATCAATATGGTATGGATTAATGGCACGAATTGGGTTTACTCTAGAATTGTTATTATATTAATCTCAAGCATTACAAGAACATGTTTAATCATAGCTTATTAAGGGATACACATGAAATGTACACAAAACTAATTAATGTATTGCTGAATGTCAAATCCAGCTACAAGTCATCGCCGTCATTTGGCAAACTGGCATCCTCCATTTTGCGTATTTGCTCCCAGCTCAGCTTCGATTCCTTGACATCTGTTATGGGCGCCGAACAGTATGGACAATAGCGAAAGTCCATCAAAAAGAATTCCTGCACAGAGCGACCATTGACAACGCTTAATAGAAACCCACCAACCAAAGGAACACCCAACACTCACCGAAGGATGCACCTTGCAGTGCTCACTTATGCGTCCATGGAAATAATGATGACAGCGCTGGCACTCGAATGCCTTTTGCGGGCGGAAGCAGACGCATACGTGCACCTCGTACTTGTAATCCGATGGCAGCTCATATTTCAGTTTATTCTTTGCCTCTTTGTTGTTGCTCTTCTCATTGTTGTTGTCGTTGTTGTTATTGTTGTTGCTGCACCAGTTGTTGTTCTGGTCGGCATATTCATTTTGATTGGAGTTCATCATTTGAAAAGTCAACTGCAGATTAGTAGAAAAGTTGTACATGTAAATATCGTTGATCTTTTTACTCTAAAGGCTTTAATTGGCTTGAAATCAACATTGCACAGAATTCTTAAATCATGACATTAAATAAAAAGCCTACTAATTTGACTTATTATTGAAAACTTCATAAGCTCACATTCACACACACACACACATGCATATATGCGTGTGTGCATGTGTATGTATGTGTGTACGCAAGCTTGCCTTTTTACAAATGAAGTGTAAGCTAGTGTGTGTGCTTGCATCTAAACCAATTAACATAATTATGCTGATTAATAAGTCAGTATCAATTACCTTTTAATGAAAACGAGTGCGTTTGAAATAATAAAAACGCGAATTCTTTAATTGCGACGCGGCTTCTTTCAACTAAGCGACCAGTGTTGACTAGCTTCGAAAAGCAATAATAACTTAGATAAATAAACAGCTGCATTTCGTATGCAATGTTTTTATATCAAATATTTTTTATTTTACCTTATTTACCTTTACAGTTGCAACTAAAGCTGTTCTTAGCAATTGTCGCAAATTTCTGAATTAATTAGCTGGCATCTTTTCAAAAGGCCACGGCCAATTGGAAAGCAGTCGAACTGGCAACGCTATCTCTGGAATGCTTTAGGTAACGGTGCTCATCAGTGCTGTAAAATGCCTCAAAAACATGTGCGCTTGTTGAATGACGCACTTTCCAAATAGTACATACATACACACATATGCATGTACATGTGTGTGTATGTGTATGTAATCAAAGGCATCGTTCCCAAGGAACAGAATGAATGTTTAGATACACAATGGTATCTATATATTTATGGATTTCATTGTTCATTTGTTTACATATACACGGGTATTTGTAGTTGATATTGTGTGTCGTCAACGACAATACTCTTACAGCTCTTTTGTTTCACATTTGATCCGCCGCCATTCGCAAATCTTTGGCAGCAGCTCCGCAGAAAGCGCAGTTGCGTGCATCCATTAGATACGCAATCTGTGGATATAAAAAGCCGATCGCGGCATTTATTCATATATGTATATGTAGTGTGTAGTGTAATTGTTTACTTCTGGATGCGCGTTGCAACGCTCCCCGATGCGGCCCACAAACGACTTCCCGCAACAGGTGCAGACAATCAATCCGCGCTTGCGTTCACAGATGCAGCTTTCTAGACAACTCGCCTCCGCCTTCTTGTAGACAGAGAATGATGATGGCGCCGTTAGCCAGGAATATTTCTTTGATTTACCGTTGTCTCTTTGAATTTCCATGTTGCAGCTTTTGTTTTTGAATTGACTCGATCGTTCACTCGGCTTAATTTTCATCGACTGACAGTGCTGTAAAATGTTTTCAGCCAGCCGCGCATGTTATGGGTATTCCGGCATTCGAAGAAAATTGTGTTTGTCAACTATCGCATAAAACTTTTTTTCTTTAATTGACTGCGCAATACTCTGTTCGAAGTGTATTAACTTCGGGCATTGAAGATGATTTAAGAAAATTATAAATCCAACGCGGATATACATTAGTATAAATCTCAAGTTTCGAATCTCAAATTTTACGGTCAACAAAACTAACTTCGTGCAAAACGAATACAGCCCATTTCAGTTTTAAAATAGTGTAATTTGAAAAATATGACGCTCGTGAGCTTAGCAGGAAAAATGCGTGGTTGTTGTCGCTGCTAATAAATAACCCTTGTGTTTAGCGTAGACACAAACACCGAACCATACTATTGTCATCTCTGTCTGACACGTGTTGCATGTGCTTCCAAATATACACACAATATGTAACATTCAGCGCCGTCGCAGCAATGTGAAATATACAATATGGCGATCCACCTTCAACTGGCTCGTTGGTCTAGGGGTATGATTCTCGCTTCGGGTGCGAGAGGTCCCGGGTTCAATTCCCGGACGAGCCCAAGTGGTTAATGTAATTATTTTGTACTTTCTTTTCTTAATACAAAAAATCTGATTTCAATTAATTGGCTGCAATTTACAAAGAGAACTAATAAAAAATAAATTGCCGCTTTACAAACAAAACAAGTAGCTGCTCCAGACGTCGTCAGTTTTATCAGATAATTTGTTTTGTTTAAATTGTTTAGAGTTCATGAGTAAGAGCAAAATTGTGTTATTTTTGTTTTGTTTCTTTCTTGCTTCGCATTTGGTTGCTATGCATAATTTTCTGTTGTTCTTCTTGTTGTTGTTGTTTTGTGTGTGTTTTTTTTTCCTTGTTGTTTCTTTTCCTTTGTTTTACATACATAAGCATTTTTGTTTAGCATTCGTTTAGTTTTTTTTTTTTAGCATTATGTGCTGGAAATACTTAGAACAATATGGTTTTATTAATTAAGATTAAGATTTGTTGTAAGCGCTGCCGCGTTCTCGTCTGCCTGGTGAGTGTGTGTGTGTATGCTACATGCGCTGTGTGCGCGTGTGTGCCTGCCTGTATATGTGTGTGTGTGTGTGTGTGTGTGTGTGTGTATCTGAGTGATTTTTGTGTGGAGGGGGAGAAACAGTCTCTATGGATGCACTTGGCTGCCGCTGAACATGTCTCCATTGCCGCCAGCTCACTCGTATTCCAGAACATTCTTATGATAGAATAATAAATAACTGCAAGGATTGAATAGATAGATAGATAGATAGATTGGCAGGTGTGTCAGTGTATTCGATGTGGCCGCCAACTTACCCCTCGCTGTCGAGCACCTGTTTGAGCGAAGCCATTGTTATCACATGATCATCGCACTTGACCCACGTGTCCTTCTGGTGACGCACATAGGCCGTATAGTGGCCGGTGTCAATGGTGCCCACATGATTGACGACCGCGTACAGAGAGAAACGAAAGTCGCCATAGGCATTGTTTTTCTCGGACATGAAGGGCGTCATATCGAACTCGACGGGAAACTGAATGAACGACGATATTTTGCGGTCAATCAGAGCCGAATGCTCGAAACGCTTCAGATGGAACGAAACGACGCTGGGCAGGGTGCGCAGGCTAAACTGTTTGGTGGACTCTTGATACGATTTGCAGGTGGAGCATTTGATTTTGGCCGCCGAACCGAGATGCTCGGCTCGCGTATAGCGCTCCAGGCAGTCAATCAGCGTCTTTGGCGTGACGCCGCCGTGCGTGGTTGTCTCGCCGAGATCCAGTGAGATATCCCAGAAGGGATCGAATGTGGTCGAAACGCCGTTGCATGCCTGGCACACCACATCGCTCTGCAGCATGCCCGTAAAGATTTGATCGATGATGCAGTTGCACTGGCCATAGCAATGCGTGGCCGTTGCATTGCCACCTGAGCTGGAATTGCCGCCCGATGCGCTCGAGCTGTTGCTCTTGCTCTCGTGCTCCGACTTGGCCTTCACGCAATGCCGATGCAGCACGTCCAGCGTCGCTATAAAAAACTCGTGCGCATCCTGCTGCTCGTAGCCGGCCAAATGCTTTGCATGATTCCAAATTAAATGCAGCAGGCGATGCAGCGACAATGGCGAACGTGAGCCCGAATAGAACTCCTAAAAGAAAAAAAGAGAACAACATCAAAACGGGCGCAACTGGACACAGCTGGAAAACAGCGCATGCGCTTACCTGGAACAGACGCGACACCTCGCACACCAAGCACTTGTGTGTGGCCTTGCTGCCACAGTCGTGGCGATCCGACATGAAATAGTCGCTCAGCAGCGGAGTGTGCACCAGAGCCTGCGGGAAAGCATTTCAACGATTACAAAAACTAATCCAAAACAGCGAACTTCAAACTGACGCAGACTGAATACCCTTCCAGGCATGAATCTCTATACAAATACAAGTTTTACGTGCTGGTTCCTACGGCAGCTATATTATATAGTGTATATTTATAGGCGGTTAAAAGCGATCTAGAATATATATAGCTAAAAGATCATGTCTTTGGCTTCAGCTGTTATTGCCAGTTTAGCTACTTTTAGTGAAAAGCAGCCAAATTTTAACTGCTTTAGCTAGTTTTTGGCTGCTCAATGCGAACCCAGCCTTTTTAAAGCTAGTTTTTGTGGCATTTGGCAACACTGTCTACATTGCGCACACTTTCGATAGCACTTGGTCAAACTTATCGATTATTTTCCAATAATATGGCCTTGCCCTTTGACTAGGGCTGGGCATACGCATATGAGTAAGGATTGTAATCGAATAGCGGCATTTGTGGCACTCAATTGTGTCTCTCTCTCTCTCTCACCTGGACAATGCAGTTCATGAAGCATGTCGCACCCAGATTGAGCAGTCCACGCAAACCAATCGTTTGATTGGGTCGCACCAGACGACGTCGTGCATTGGCCAGCAGTAGATTGGTCTCCTTGGGCGTGGGTATCCAGGGCTGCCAGCCGAGGCTCTTCTGCAGATCCTTGGCCTCCAGCTTGCGATTGATCAGCGCGTACTCGCGACTGCGCGCATCATAGATAAAGTCCCGGCACGCATAACAGTACAATGTGCCATGGGACAGCTCCAGTGCGATGTTGTGCTTCTTGGCGCGCAGGTGGCTAGTTATGTGCGCACCGCGGCAGCCAAAGTAGATGCAGTGCAGGCAGGCGTACAGCTGGATGCCATAGCTGCCGCACTCGAAGCAATTGCAGTGTATGGCCTATGGACAGGGTGGAACGCAAAAAAGGTGGTAGGGGTGGAGGATGGGTGAGGCCTTGGCATTGCCTACTGCTGCCCGCTTACCTTTTTCAAACGCGCATCCTTGTTGACACAGGCGGCAAAGTAGGCATCGATGACCCGAAAGGTATCGTAGCTGTGCTCCTTCACGTAGGTCTGATAATGCCGGCAGCCCGTTTCCGACATGACGTTGACGTCGACGTCAACGGCGCTGCTGGTGCTGCTGCTGCCGCTGCCGCTGCTACTGCTGACGTTGACGTTGACGCTAGCGTTGGCGTTTGCGTTTCCGTCAAGCTCGGATGCAAGCTTTTGCACAGTGCGCAAATAAACGGGAACTGACAAATGCGTCGCATTCAGTGGACCCTTTGTTAGCTGTGCGCCTTCGACACTACCCCCGCCGCCCCGCCCACCACTAGCAACAGTTTCGTCGGCCGGACACCGGCCGGCAGCTGCCTTTGTTGTTGTTGTTGTTGTTGCTGTTGTAGTTGTTGTTGCTGCAGCTGCTGCTGCTGCTGCTGCTGTTCGTGGGTTTGTGGACGCTGCTTGTGGGGGTATACGGGGTTCAGGTACAACGTCGGCCGCTCCCCGGCCGACCGAGGCGTATGCGCGCTTGTTGTTGTTGTTGCTGCTGCTGGCTCTGCTGCCGGCGCCGCTGCTGCTGCCACTGCCACTGCTTAAAATGCTTGTTGTACTATCAACGCTATTCTCTTTTGTTTTCGTTCGTTTTGCAGACGGCTGTGGCACGTTGGTTTTATCACACTTGCGCTGTTTTCGCCGAATTTTGGCCACTTTTATGCTGAACACGGACACGAATTGTGTTAAATAGGAACTTTGTTTTTGGGCCGTTGATGAGTTTTCTGTTTTTTCAAAGACTCTGATTTTGCACACGCACACACACACAAATGCCACAGCGCACACACGCACAAACACACACGCACACATGCATGGAAGCAGACACAAACATACGAGTAGTAGTAGCAGCGAAGCAGAGCAGCGCACACAGCTGAAGTCGACTCGGGAATTGTTGATATTATATCGATACCAACGATGGTTTTCTTTTTTTTTGGTTTTATGCGCGATGTTTTCATCTGCCGATATATGAGTGGCCAAATAATCGAAAGTTCTATGCAAATTAACTGCTATGCAAATAATTAATATGATTTAATTAGCACGTTGTTGACATACAAATTAATCTCGCGGCAAGCCGCCAATCTGTTAATTTTTAAATCGATGCGCAATTTGTATTTTAGTATTTTTGAAAGCGACTATTTTTTGCAGTGTGACCATAATGCGCTAGAGAAACAAGAACACCAATGCAAATACAAAAAAAAAATACTGTATCGAATTAACAACCATTAGAAATTTCCTACCCAAACACTTTATTCTTGTTTACAATACGTAAGGAGCACAAAATAAATCATGGAAAAGGTTTGCCGCGTATGCCGGGACGGCGGCATTAATCTAGTCGACATCTTCGCCGACCAATTGGATTCGACGGACGAACCCAGTTTGGCGGAGATGCTGAGCGAGTGCACAAACTGTGAAGTAACCCAAAATGATGCACTGCCTCAACAAATGTGCGAGTCCTGCGTTCTCTCTGCTCAAAGTTTCTTTAAATTCAAGCGCACTTGCGAGGAGAGCCATCAGTATTTCATGCAGCAGCTAGACGCCAGGAATATGCTTGAAACCGACGATTGGCCACTTTCCGAGTGGGCCAAAAATATGATGTCTGTTAAGAAAGAAGAAGAGCAATGCGAAGAGAATCTGGATTCAAAAATAGACATATGCGAGTACACAGAAACGCGTTCAGATGATTGGCATTCCAATGCCAATCCCATTTGCCTGTTCGAAACCAAATTCATCGATTGCGACATGAAATGCGATGTCAGCTGCAAAAGCTCCTTTAGTGAGGAATTAATTATACCCTGTTCCGATTCTAATACTGATAAGAAAGCCCACTTCTGTGCAACGTGTGGCAAGGAGTTCACAACCAAAAGGAAACTCAGCCTGCACGAGAGCTTCCATGCACGCCAACGGAAGCACGAATGCCAGCTGTGCCCGAAGAAGTTCGTCAATCCGGGCAATCTGGAGGATCATATACGCGCACACACAGGCGAACGCCCCTACAAATGTCCCCACTGCGTCAAGGCATTTACCCAGCGTGGACGGCTCAACGAGCACATACGCATCCACACTGGCGAACGTCCGTTCAAGTGCTTGGAATGCCCCAAGACCTTCGCCAATGCAGGAAATCTGACGGTGCACAGACGAATTCATTCGGGCCATCGACAGTACAAGTGCAACCAATGCCAGGCGTCCTATGTCCAGCCAGCGGCGCTCCAAAGACACCTGCGCGTCCATCTGAATGACGAGCGTCCGTTCAAGTGTGACATCTGCCTCATGCCCTTTCCCAAGAGCTCGTATCTCAAGAGACACATGAAGAGCCACACAGACACGAAGCATCTTCTCGAAGATGAAAATAACTTGAACCCCTTGAAGAATGTGTAAAATCGCTGAGGAACACATGATAAAAGAACTGAGATTTCGCTTTCTCGATCGATTCGAGGCGAAGAGAACGAAAGGTCTGAACCCAATTGACTGACTTACAAAACAAAAATGTTAAATTATCATAAATTAACCAAAATTTAAAACGATTAATAGCTTAGATATTTATTTTTGAAAATGGTGAAGGGTACTTATTTTCTAAAATTATAGTTTACCTAAGAAAATCTTTAGATTCGATTTACAGTCGTTGCGCAGCAAATCATAAAATTAAAAATAAAATAATCAAAAAATATACATATTTTATTTGAATTTGTACTATTATTGATAACTTATACCTTATATCAACTAGCTGGCTTAGTCTCGTTGGCCACATTTCATTGTCAGGAGCTCGTTCCAGAGCTAAATCGCCTTCTTGTTCAGATAAGCCTGTGCTTCTTCGACCTAAAATGGACAAGCAGCATATAGTCGCAAGAGTAAACCATATAATAATTTGCATACAGTCTTAAACCATGCCGTCGCGGGCCTGAATACCCAGCGAGACACAAAACTCATCTCGGAGCGCGGCGCAATTCCATGCATGTGCAAATGCTTCACAGAGATGAAAGGCGGCACATGGAATCCGAAGAGCGCATCCGTTGTATTAATGCCTTTTGATGTAAAAAAGCTCTTGAGGCCCTGCTCCATGCGAAGCACTAGAAATTATAAAGGTTTAGTTATATAAACGAGCATATATATAAGTACGTTTGTTTAATCTACAAACCCATTTTTTCGTGCGATTGGTTGAGGACCTTTAGACTGTCATAATGCTGCTTTGTCACAATAAGATAATGATGTCGCGATGCCGGTCGTATGTCTTTAAATATGGCGAATTCGTCAGTCTCCATTTCCAAAATTGTTTCAGTTTTGCCATTTGAGATATCACAGAATAAGCAATTTTGATGGGCCATATTGGTCGACCAAGCAAATTTTACAAATAATAACAAAGCTGAAAACAGCTGCACAACAATCGCTGTACTTATCGATACTACGGCAGCAGTTTGATATAGTTGTCGATATTTTTTTAAATTTCAACTATCGTCTAGACAATTGTATTTATCGATACATGGCTTAGTCAGTAACGGTGAACTTGCTACTGTGTGGCTGCATCGATATTCCTAGTTTCCCGTAATTCAAATAAAATGTTAAGCTTATAAAACGCAAAAACATAAGATATGAATATTAAACAAGTTTAACGCGTTGCACTAATTAAGTGTGTGTTAGTGATAGTAAATTTAGTGCATAAAACATATACGTAAATCAGAGTGCGATCTCATTTTTTCACGCCGCAATACGCAATTGAAATTGGGAAGACGAATGAAAGGCAAAGGAAAATGGTGAGCATTTACAGTTATGTGGGTTCTATGTGAAAAAAGGCGTTTGCTATTCATGTATGTATGTGTGCTCAAAAAGAGCTCCAAGTATGGAGTGATTTTTGTTGATCGCCTGATCCAGAGTGGACACCCTGTATATTTTTCAGTCGGCCGGCCAACTTGCAACAGCTGAGCGCTGTAAAGCTGCAGCTACCACTCTCGACTTTCAGCTGCTCTCTTGGCTTTTAACGTTTTTTCTCTGAGCCAGCTGTGCTGCTTTCGCACTGAGTCTGCTTGTTGTTGTTGTTTTTTTTATTTATTAGTGTGCTGCGCGCTTGCTTGGCCGCTCGCTTTGCCGCCTGTCTGCTTACAGTCTGAGTTTGGTACGCAACGCGTTCGCAACGCGCGCGTTTTTTATTATTATTCGTATTCGGCCCGATCGCCGTCCAATTGGTACTCAGTTTCTTTTGCACTCAGTTTCTTCGCGCAACTTTGCGGCTAATTATTGAATTAAATTCAGTGTGAAAAATGAGCAAAACTAAAGCCAAGCGGAATAATTGAGCATTTTTTAGCATATGTAAGCAAGTGATAACGGTTTTTCAAATTGCTGAAAATTCATGCATACCGAAACTAAGTGTGCCCACATTATTTAACGAAATTGTCAAAAAAAAAAAACCAATACCAAAAAGCGCTTTCAATAATGAAAAGACAAATGAATGAATAAATAAACTATACAAAAAAGAAATAAACTCAATTAAGAGATAGAAAACTTCAAGCAGCTTTTTCGATCGTTAAGGTGACAGGAAATTGAATACACCTGTGAATTTTGATTGGCATTGAAGTGATCAGAGAAAGCATGTTTGAAAACACACCTGCATGATTTTTGATCCCGCCCCCTATGCAATTGTTAATCGTTCAGATGCTTAACACCGCCTGCCCACCATATACGCCTATTCAAGGCCCACAGCAGCCCAATCAAACATTAGTTTCTTCAACTGGCTAACCGAAAATTGCCAACTTCCTGTACAGCGTGTGTCTGTCGAACGGGGCGCCGAGTCATTAGCTCCTCGTCATGCCCACTCAAAGTACCGCTATGCGCCGGCTAGTCGTTGTATCTGTAGAGTCGCGCATGTATCTTTAGCCAGCAACATACACACACACACACACACACATGGATAGACTGGGCACAGGTCTAGCCGATCCCGGCTGCTGTGGCCCCTTCACTTTTTTTTTTTTTTTGGTTTTTCTGCTCAGCGAAAAAGTTGGCGCGGCAAGTGCATTTCGCATTCCGCTGGCCGAAAGTCTCTTACGAGTTTTGCATCTCTGCATCCTAACTTTAAATTGAGGCATGCCCTCTCCCTCTCTCTCTCTCTCTCTTGCGCTCTCGCGCTGCATTTCTTTTGTCGTCAAGTTCAATGTGCGTTGACAATTTTCCATTTCGAAATGGGCTGGCAACGGTTTTCCACTTTGTTTTTCGTTGCGTACTTTCACACACACACACACACAGCAATTTCCATTGTATTTGGGCAGCTGTGCGTGTATTTAAATTTATTTTAAATCGATCGCCAATACAAATCATTGGTGCATATGTCGCGAGGTCTGCTAATGCGCCACTGTCATTCAACCCGGAACTGTGAACTGCCAGCGTTAATGTTAAAGATTCATTCCGATTTTGTCGCCCGATGCTAAAAAATCATATGGCAAATCATGGATCAGTACAAGCTGCAATCTTTTTGTGAAAGCGCAAGTTGTTTTTGTTTTTGTTTTTTTTTTGTAAAGTGTAAGTTTAACACTTTTCCCGCACTTACATGCCTATAGATACATAACTGCATAGATACAAAGATACATGGATACTTTCGTAAGCATCTTTTCACTATTACCAACGTATTTTGTCGTGTTAAAGCCGCTTAATTGAAAGTCTTGACTTATGACTCGAGCGTTCAGCGTGTGTGTGTGTGTGTGCGAGTGTGTAAAAAGTCGAATGGAAAATGAGTTTTCCAGCTGCGCAGCGCCAGAAAAATAACCATAGACAGTTGCATGTAAAGTACGTGTGCTGTAAATTAAAGTGAAATTTAATATGCAGTCTTGATCAGTTGATAAATATACGTATATTGATAAATTACTGGCAAATAAACGCGACAAGACGAGTTATTAGAGACTTGCAAAGTGTTGAAACATCGTATCTCTGTTGATTTGCATCTTTAACAAAGTAAAGCCCATAAATATCCTATTCTCCTCAGTGTGTTGCCATAAAGAAAAGCGAAACAAAACTAAATAAATCAAGAAAATTTAGCATATTTTAATCAGCACAAATAAACAAAGTTTTAAACAAAAAAAAAAAAAAAAAAAAAAAAACGTAAAATCAAAACAATAAACAACAAATTTGTATAAATAACCAAATGCTGTATTCGCATCAATTTTATGTTTATCATTTTATTTTCATTGTGAATGTGAAAGTGGTGAAAAATCACGGCTGTATTTCCAGCTAGAAGACACGCTTGCCGGAGTTATACAAAAGACAGAGCAGAGAAGAAAGAAACATAAAGGTAAAGCAAAGCACACAAAATACATAAATAATAAATACGTACAAATAATTTATAAGTTAAACGAAAGCTTCAGCCCAGACACCACCCCGATGTTGAACATTTGCTATTCAGATGATCTTCTGGCTCGATATATTCAGCTTGCCTTGTTATGCCTATTGACGGCATCGGGAGCTAAAACCTCATCTGAGCTCATCTCGTCGTTTCAGCGCGAAAGATCAGCAATAAACTTGTTCGGGTCGCGCTCATTGGGCAAATGACTCATTTCGACCGTTTTGGCAATGTCTCGTTAACTGTTTCTAATATTAACGTATTTGTGTTTATAATTTTTATTTTTTCATTAATTTTTGCATAATTTTGTGTGCAGCTTTGGTCAGCTGCGATTGATTTGCAGTTTAAGGCACGTTTTGCTGACGTGAATCAAATAATACACAAGTAAATATGTGGGTTGTATTCTTGATACCCTATAAAACCAGCTGTGTGGGGTATGTTACGCACTTAACCCATATACAAATCATTTTGTCTGATGATCTAGTTAATATTTGAGCATTTAGTTAATGACACTCGCTACAGGGTGTCTGCAAGTCAAGCGCACTCGACATATTTGCTTTACTTTCCACACGGCTGCACATCTTTTACGCAACTTGTCAGCGCTCAATGTCAAGGTTGTTGTCGGATTTTTGATATTTGTTTATACATGTATACTTAAACCGTCCCGGCATTTGCCAGGTCTGTGCGAGTAGGCCCGTCTGAGAGACAACCGCCTGCCTGCCTAACTGGCTTATTATTGCGGCCGCTAATTGCGGCTCAACACTTCTCGAGTGGAACGCCCCGATGTTGTTTTGGCATTTTGTAATTGCTTCATTTCGGCGACGTGTTGCGGGCATTTAATTGGAGCTCACGCCTAAATGGTAAATGTGAGCAGATCAAGATAATGGGAATGCTCAATCCTATATGGCAAGATTAGCGGCATTAACTGGTCATCATTTAAATGTAAATTTAACAATTATGGGTTTTGGTATATTCATGAAGAGTTTTTAGTGTTGTCAGTCAATGTATATATATATATATATATCAGTTTATTCCTACATTCTGCCACTGTCTTCAAACATATTTTAATATTAAAATATCACTACGATGACCCTCAGCCATTCTTGAGATCTTAATTATCATTGAAAAATATCGCGCGATTTCAAGGCTATTATTAGCCATTGATAATTGTGCCATCTATCGATGAAAAATGCATTTATCACCATTTTTTTTTTGGTAGACTTCAACAGCTTTTATCGTATCAATAACCAAATGGTTTATTAATTATTAACTCATTAGGACAAAAAACGAGCCAAGGTCTTGGCCCCAGGTCACGCATGTTGTTGGTTGATACCGTTCGAAGTGTTCTTTTGCCTCTGCAGAACCGTTAAAAATTTCACCTAGAGCGCAAAAGCGAGCCAAACTCGTCTTGCGTTCTGAAAACTATCATAAATTTGACTTTTTAATGACAAAGAAACATTTTTTATGCGTTTTTTTTATGTGTGAAAATGAAGCAGAAAGCATAAAAGAGAGCGCAGCTAAAGCAAAAAGCCAAAAGGGCGCGGAAATACATGAAACAATAGCTAAGCTCAAAATGCCGCAAATTTAATACTCTTTCTAGAACAAATAAAACAAATGAAAAAGTATTGAAGTGTAGTCTGTAAAAATAGTAGAAAAAGAAAATATATTTCACATCTCACCCAATTATGGGAAAAAAACTGGCCAAAGTTGTGGCTAAGCTAAACTAGAATTTCTTTTGATGTTGAGCATATTAACCCAATATTATCTATAGGCTCGCTTAATGGATCTAACTCAGGTTTGATGCATACATTTTTACTGCAAGATAATGTCTAGTATATTGAATAAACCCATTGCTAAACTCAATAGATATCTGCTGTTAGGGTATAGCAAGAAGACATTAGATGCAGTTAGGCAGCAAGTGTAAATGAGCTGGAGAAAAGTAGACACACAATGGTATAAAGTTAATATAATACGTAATTATAAGCGGCCCCCGGCACCGTACAACATATGGTAGGGGCATTCAGTTAGGTTAGGTCTTTGGCACAAGCAGTTAGTACAGAGTAGTTCTGCGGATC